AGTACCTCATTTCTTATTGAATTCTAAAAACAATATTTATAATGAATTTTAATAATTTTTTCGAATTTTTTTAAGCTTTATTCTGACCGATTCACCCGATTCTCGATTCGGATCGCCGATTCGCCGATCCGGATCGGTTTTTTGGAAGCCCGATCCGGGTCACCGATCCATTTTTTAAACCATTGTTCAGATGGGTGTTTTCAGGTCGGGTTTCAGAGGTCAATGACAGTTTCACATCAGTGGCTGGGTGAGCTTTCAGATAGATCTAAACCGTGAGATCAATATTCAGAAACAAAAACATGCAAAGGGGCGGTTTTTTGGATGGGGCAGATCGGCCGTTTTTAGATGCTATTTTTCATAGGTGGATTTAGAGGCGGGTTCAGATCCGACTGTAGGTATCAGAAATGACATAATCACAAAGCAATGACAACTGTCGGTTGAGCTCACAAAGGCAAGCACAAAGCCACCAATCAATAGGAGAATCAAATCCCTACGAGCGGCTTCGAGATGGTACTGATCGAAGCTTTAGATGTAGGACTTTCCAAAACAACAGTTCACAATAAATTCTCGAGAGAGAGAGGGAGGTGACAGCAAGAGTTGCAAGACCAAATGATCCGAGCTTTCGGAGAGATCGGCTATTGCTTTGAGAGGAAGAAGAGATCAAGTTACAGTGGGCAGCCATTGACTCAAATGGACGGTCTTTGATACTAATGATGGGAACAGGGCACACTGCGATTCAAACGTAACCGCCCACCAAAGAGTCCCAAGCCACAGTTCAAGCACTTTGTATCCTATATGTATAGAAAGAGGGCAGCCGATGTAACGAGGTTGGGAGCATTCTTTGCGCCCTCGTTGTTTTGTTTTTGTTTTAGTCACTAAAGAATATACAACAGCAAAGGAAGAAGTCAACAGGGGGTGCAAAGAATATACAACAGAGAAATGGTGTACAAAACAGAAGGCTGCAAGCGCTCAGCAGGCAGCAATGGTGTACAAAACAGAAGGTTGCAAGGGCTCAGCAGGCAGCAAGAAATATGTGACGATAAAGTTGCGAAGAATGATCTTAACCACCGGAATATACAGCAACCGATCAGCAGCCAGGATGCGACAGATGCCACCGATAAGCAGTTGGAATGTGAAAGATGTCCCGCCGATCAATTGTAGCGATTTTCTGCAAAAGCCTTAAGATCAAGACTCGCATATTGCTGAAGATTCACCTTTCTAATTAACCTAGCTCTGATAAGACTCGTCTTGAAAATCGGCAACAATACTTCAGGGACGAAGAATGGACCTTGCTCTGATACCATGTGAAGAGTCTCAGGTTTCTTTGAAGAGACTCAATGTCCATTAATAAATATGAATATACAAGTTTGCCTTACATAGACAAATACAGACGACAAGAATAGAAATAAATCACAAACACCAATACTATACCCAGACTTACCATAAAAATATAGGATATGATATTTACCATTCTCATATACACTGATTATAATATGCACCTTTCATATTAACCTAGTAGACAATATGTACTTTCTTTTCACACGGAGGACAACTGAAAAAGATTGCATAAGCCACACGGGAGGATCCGAAAAAGTATGTAGTAGTTTCTATCCAATCCTTTACTTTTGTGTTTCCGCTGCCTTTCTGAGTCGTTCCAGTTTCCTACAATTATTGTCACTAAAAATAAAAAGATCATTACCTTCAAGTGTTTCCTTTATATAATTAATTGCTTTCAAGAGTTAAAGATGACTGTTTTCTAATATGATTTAACTAGGTCAGTTTCTAAAAAGCTGCAAGATTCATCTCTTAAAAAAGGTTTAAAATTATGATTATTATTCAAATGTATTCTTTCTTTCCTTTCTTGGTCTTTCACTTATGGCCATCCCTGCAACATTTAAATACTTTTAAATCAGTGTCTTTTGCTAAGTTCCAAACTACGGCTCAAATTCCTAGAACTCCAAGGAAAGGTAAGGAGAAATGCTTCACATACAAGTGACAACAGCCATAAACGTCCCTATAATAGTGTCCATGGTGATCCACAAGTACAATATGCGGCGAAAATAGCTCATATCCACTGTGTTGATGAACGGAGACAGTGGATGGCCGACTTAAGTACTTAAAACTGTACATACAATATGCATATTTTACCTTATGTTATGGAAGATGTGTCCTTCGCTTGAGAATGTGGGAATGGCATACGTTGTGATCATCTAGGTCTTTAACCTACTTGAGACTTCGAGAATGCTTTAGGGACTTTGTAATCTTGGGGGTCTTTAACCTAAATCCCCCTATTTGTCTAGACATAGTTGCGAGAACCTTGGGGGTAAGGCCCCAGTCCCACTTTAGGAACTCGATCCCACGGCCACCTTAGGAGCTCGATCCCGCGGTTCCTCTAAGAGATCTCAGAAGGAGCTAGTTTATATAGATCTCGCTCCCTATAAAATGGGGATCTCAGTGTACATGCTTGTAGGATCCCTCCAAGAAGAGGGGAGCTATACTATTAATCGAACTATTGCGCCTCTACTTAGTATTATAAATTTATTTCTTTAGATATATTAAATTGTGATGCATATCATATCGTAGTATGTATCAGAAAACTTCAAAAAAATCATAGTAAGCCAATTTATGATACTGTTGAACTATATTACAATAAGAAATTGGAGTATTATAATTATAGCATTGGCAATAAGCTAGGGTGTATGATTATAGATAGAGCAGGCATTGGCTTGATCCCAATTGTATCATATACTATAAATTGATCTCTTTTTATGCATAGTTGAGCTTAGATTCGTCAAGTCAAAACCTCGATCCCAATGAGATGGGATCTCTCTCAGAGGTACTCTAGGATCAAGCTCCTTAACTTGTTGAATGTACGGACATCGATTCTAACCTCAGAGAGCATCCACCGTATGACGTTTTGGCATTCCCCAAACCGATCCTACTTTGGAACCCAACCTGCCTCCAACAACATTGGTCTTGACCCTCTTGCACCCCTCAAGGAATATTTCATTCTTATGTCTCTTTCATGGCACCCCCCAAGCAACTAGGGCCTTGATCAACTTGGCCTCACCTAATATGTATTTTCATTTGTGATTGTAAAATAAAAGCTCCATAATGTGTATACCACATAGCATAAGTCATCTCCAATCTCTGCCTCAATGATGGTGTCTCATTAAGGTACTCTATACAGTTTTAGTATTAGCACACGACACACACAGTACACACATTGACCATAATACACTTTCCTTTTCTTCATTTCTAAATCGACACCTTGAAAATACAGTAGACATGGCAATTCAGAATTTTTGTTTGATTAAAACAATGTTAAAAACCCTACATTAAACATTCAAAGTGTACCTGTTTACAATAGCTACAGTGCTCTGGTACAAGATAAATATTGAAAGGAGAAATATGATGTATCAAAACCCCCTCTTTCCTCTTCCGCTTCCCCTTCCCCTTCCCCTTCCCCTTCCCCTTCCCCTGCCCCTTCCCCTTCCCCTTCCTCTATAATCTCCCTGTCCAAAGTCTATTGTCTCTTCTCCTCTCCCAAAATTGAACATACTCATGCGTATTTTTTCTGCAGCATCTCCGGAACCCAAATTCACCTGATCATATAGAAACAACAGTTAGACAATGGTTATTGATGCATTAAGCACTACAACAAAGGAAAATATTTACTTGAAATGACAAAACAGATAAACTATCATAGATAAATTGAAAACTTCCTATGTGAAAAATGACCACTGGTAACCAATATTAGCAATATAGTTTCTTGATAGATGTCACTAGAAAAGAAATGAATATCCGAAATATTGCTGCTAAATGCTCTACTTCCAAGATAGCGAATGGACTAAAGTTGAATAAATCCAATATTTTCCCCTCGCTCTTTGATGAAGTTAGACGGTATCCAGATGTAACAACTTAACTGATACAAAATCTTAATCATAAAAAAGAAGGGAAGAGAGCAAATCTTGGGACAATGGTGCTTGCACTTTATTTTTAAAATCTGGGAGAATGGGCTAAAGGGATATGAGACCTTTATTGGGTATAAGTGAACCCAGCACCAAACATAAGTACATATGCTACTTGTGCAATCTACACAAATACCCATAAGAAGAAGCAAAGCATTGGATCTCAAATTTCTCTTTTTCTTTTTCTTTCTTTTTTTTTTTTCATCTTTGTGTTGCATGGACAACCGAAATTAAAATCATGTGAACCAAGCATCAAATATCAGCATTGTCCATCCAATCGCTGCTGCATACATACATGTGGGTGGGCAAGTGTGTGTGTGTCTCTTTTGTGGGGGGGGCAAAGAGATACTGACATTGTAATCTTCTAAATCTAATTGGTTCTGCAGCTGCCTAGCAAGTTCCTCATCATGGCTGATATCTTGATGACCAGACTTAGATAGTGCCTTGGAAGCCCCTTTCCCTCTCTCCCATTCTTCCAGTGTGAAGACTGTAGGCTCTTCTTGCCTGCCTTTCCCTCTATGCTTTGGTCCACCTCCGCTTCCAAATTTTGAATGTTGGTTGGTTGGCTGATTCATTCTCTGTAGAAGTTTTTGCGCAGCTGCTTGATTTTGAACTGGAACAGCTTCAGCAACTGATTTAAACATAATTAGCTAAGCCATATATCACAAAGAATCACATAAATGAGAAAAAATCATTGTAGAATTTATAGCCCAGTGGACTGTGGAAGATGGTAGCCTGTTAGAGTCATGACCATCTGACGTATGATGAACAGTGATAACATAGGAGAATAAATGCCAACATGACCCCAGTAGTGGCTTCACTCCTTTTCCATTACTGTATACCATGTCAGCTGATGCCATGACAATGGGCACTATTTTTCAATACAGCACGGGAATATGGAAATGACAATGTCATCAGATTTACTTAAAATAACTCTTCGTTGTAGCCTGAAATGGGAAGCCCTTGAGCTCACCGGAAAATTTGGAGGCATCTTCAGGTGCATCGTAAAATTATAAAAAACGAAAAAATTCAAAAAAAAATGCAAAACTAAGCACTTTCTTAAATTTCTGCTATAAAATTTCTATCTTGTAAGATGTGGAACATTACGGAGGTAGTTTTTTTCAAAAATTCGTATGATTAAATTCTAAGTACTTTTGAAACTTTCACTGATATATTCAAGTTAAAGGTGAAATGATTCGTTTTGGTTTGGCTTAGGGCCTGAAGCTGAAGACTTCAACCATTTCAGCTGAAGTGAAGTGTAGCTGATAGCACTGTGGAATATTTCCCCTAATTGAAGCCTCTTATAAGATTGAACATACTTTCTTTTGCCCTGGAATCTGAGCTAATTGGTTTGTCTTCATCTATTTCTGAGGTTGAAACTAGTTTTTCATCATTCCTGCTGCTGCTCCTTGAATCATAGTTTTCATGGCCTCTTGAAATAGACTGCGAACCCTGAGTCCCACCTGTTTTTTCCTCCTGAAAACATCCACCCAGCTTCATGGTGTTTTGGTCTGTCTGTTTTGAGGCTGTCAAGAGAGAATTTTCGATAAATGGCAATGGTCAAGATACCTATTTAAGCAAACTTCTGAGAAAAGAACTTGATTTACAAACTATTAACCATTATATATTATGGATGCCATGTGTTCTAGAATACCTTATCAAAGTGATATGGATCCTGTACATGCAGCAAAGGAACAGAAAACAAAAAAATGTGGCATAGTAATCAATTGATGCAATTTAAAAGCATATGGTTAAAGTAGATTTCATTTATTTGGAATTCTAAGCATCAGACCACAATCAACAAAAAAATTGAGAACATAATGCTCATGAAGAAAAGAAATACTGGTTTTAGAAAACAAGCACTTTGTTTTTTTTGTTTTTTTTAAGGAAAAAGTATATATAAGTTTGCAACCTTAAAATGTAGAATTAAGGTGCACCTAAAAAATCTATCATAAAAGGTGAAGGAATATGAAAAGAAAAAAGATTTCCAAACCTAAAAATAGCATATCTTACAACACATTATCTGGATCGTCCATTTTCAAGATTTTCAAGTGTTTATATACTACTTGATTTGAACCATTTTTGGAGTTTAAGATTCTATAATTAGAGATGAAAATAGATTATTAAGCCATCCTAAGAATTTTTTATACCAAAATTATATTTATGATAAAAGTTGGAGGTGCGCCTTAATTTGATTGTTTAAGGTTGCAACCTTATATAAACCACACCCTTTTTTGAAACTGTTTATTATTGCATTAAGTAAGGTTGTACAAGAAGTCACAAAATAGGCTGCCCACAGGTGGGGAGCTCCATACAAAAACCACCGAGAGAGGGGTATACATCCAAGAAAGAAACAAAATAAAAGGCCAAAAATCCCCAAAAACCCACAACCCCAAGGTCTTTTAGCTTCTGCCATAGCTGCTCCTTCTCTAGCAAGAGCGTGTGCTGCATGGTTTGCCTCCTGTCAGGTTCTGAGTCCAAGAAACGGGAATATGCCTGCAAATGTCAAAGATCTCGTCAAACACGTGAGCAAGTCTCCAAGGGGAGGGGGGGGTGGCCTCCCTCGGGGCCTAGAGGATGACATTTTTGGAGTCTCCTTCCACAACCAGTTCAGTACTCCAATGAGGATTGAAGTGTTTGAGACCTTCCAATAGAGCAAGAGCTTCCGCCGTGGTGGAATCTGCTGGGCCAATAGGTTTGGCAAAGGAAAGGAGGGAGAGGCCATGGTGGTTTCTGAAGATGCCCCCAATATCAGTTGCTCCCAGGTTGCCAAGCAAGCCACCGTCAAAATTAAGATTAGTTTTGCCCATTTCAAGAGGTCGCCAAAGAGATGCTCGAGGAATAGCGTTAGGCCTACGAGAGAGAAGTGACAGCCAGTTAAGATGGAAGTCCGAGGCTAAGAGGTGCTTGAAACAACTGTGATTCAGGGCCCAAAAGATAACCATGGATTTAATGTTGTCCCTAAGGATATGGAGTAGAGAGATGCAGCCTAGGAAAATGCGGTTGTTGCACTTGATCCAAATGGCTCGTAGGGTAGCCGCAACAGAAGCCTTCCAAAGTAAAATGCCAGGTTTGGCCCAAGGGAGAAATTTTGAGTATTCAAACAAGCGTGGAACTGAGCTGGGGGTGACGCAAGACCAGTTAAACAGTAAGAGTAGGTCCTTGCAAAATTTGCTGGCTAAGCTGCAGTGGATGAAAAGGTGTGAATTGGTTTCATCATCAGCCGTACAGATTACACATTGATTGGCAATGATCAGACCCCTTCTTTACAATTGATCTACCGTCAAGACCCTCTCAGAAAGGGCAATCCAATTGGAAACTTGGATTTTAGGAGGGATGAAGGAAAGCCAAGCTTTAGCAAGATTGGAAAGGGATGAGGTGGAGGTCGGGATGGAGTGGAGTTTGCGGTCAAAGGGCGAAACCATGACCATCCGCAGTTAGGGACCAGATAACCCGGTCCTCACCATGGGGGGGAAGATAGACAGAGTGGAGAAGGGCTGACAGTTGAAGGAAGGATTCGACCACTCTGTTACAGACGTGTCTTTTGAAATTTGGATTCCAAGAGCAAGAAGAGCATACCATTTGGAATAGATCCTCCACTGAGGGGTTACTATCTCTGGCCAGGTGGAAGAGATTGGGAAATCGATCTCTCAGGGAACTGTGGCCAATCCAAAGATCAGAGAAGAAGTTAATTCTGTTGCCCGCCCCTGCATGGAAGTGAATGTTAGCTCTGAATAGGTCTAAACAATGAAAGATTGATCCCCATGCTCCTGAGCATGAATTGTAGGTTGTGTTGAGTGGTAACCAAGGAGGATGGTGAAGGCGATATTTATGGCGAAGTACAATTTGCCACAGGTGTCCCTCCTGAGTAGCTAGACGCAACCACCATTTGCCCAACAAGGCCAGATTGTTCTTTTTAAGGGCGTGAATGCCCAGGCCACCTTGGGATTTCGGCCTGCACACCGTGGTCCAGTAAATGAGGTGATACTTCCTGGATTCACCCTCTTCGGATCACAGAAAGTTGCGCATAGCTGTTCCAGGCATGAAGAAACAACTGCAAGCATGTGGAAGAGGGACATTCGGAAAATGGGGACGTTCAAAAGCGTGGCCTTATGAGAGTAACTCTACTTGCAGGGGATAGAAATCTCCCTTTCCAGGTGGCCAACTTCCTGTCAAATTTGTCAATGATATGAACGCCCATTGCCTGTGTTTGGGCTTGCCGTAGCACAGGGGGAGGCCCAAGTAGGTGGATGGGAGAGAGTCCACTACATAGCCCCACCTATTGGCAAGGTCATGTGTTGCCTATGGCTCCATGCCAATGCCAATCATTTTATTTTTGGCCATATTGATCCGATAGCCCATAGCCAGCTTGAAACATTTGAGAAAAAGGAGTGCATCGATCTGCTGCTCGGATGGCCCACAAAAGAGGAGGGTGTCATCAACATATTGCAGGTGAGCGATCACGGGGCCTCCATTGGTAATTTTAAATCATTCTAAAAGACCGTGATTGTACATCCTAGCTACCGACCTACTGAAGACCTTAGCCACAATGGCAAAGAGGAATGGGGAGAGAGGATCCCCTTGTCGGAGACCTCTAAAGGAAGGAAAGAATCCCGTAGGGTTTCCATTGATGAGTATGGAAAAGAAGGGGTTGGAGATACAACATCGAATCCATTTACACCACCGATTGCCGAAGCCCATGTGGACGAGGGCTTCGTTTAAGACCGCCCAGTCGACATGGCTGTAGGCTTTTTCCCAGTCCAACTTAATAAGGAGTCCCAGAACATTGGATTTGATCCTTGAGTGAATACACTCATGCAAAACGAGGATCCTATTTAAAATTTGGCGGTATTTCACAAATGCTCATTGGTAGCGAGATATCACCCACCCTAACACCTCCTTGAGTCTAGAGGCCAAGGTCTTAGCCAAAATCTTGTGAGAACTGTTCATTAGACTTATGGGTCTGAAGTCCTTGAGTTCTTCGGCCCCTTCCACTTTGGGTATGAGCGTGATGAAGGTGGTATTCATACTTTTGTTGATAACCCCTCTCTCGTGGAACTCTTGAAAGAAGGAGAGAATGTCAGGGCGAAGGGATTCCCAAAAGTTTTGGAAGAGGGCTATGGGGAAGCCATCAGGGGCCAGGGCTCGGTCTTGGCCTAGGTCAAAGATGGCTTGGAGGATCTCATTTTCACAAAAGGGACGTCCCAACCAAAGGGCTCTATATGGGGGAATGGACTAGGAAGAGAGATCAGCCATAGTAGGGTAGGTTTGGTAGGTGACTTGACCAGTTGTGAAATGAAGTCAATGATGGCTTCTTCCACCTAAGGGGCTTGGTCCAGGACGACACCCTCAACTACTAACTGGGTGATGTATTGTCTCTTCTTCTACAATTGGCCGTTTGGAAGAGGGCCAAATTGAGATCATCACATTTAAGCCATTTAACCCTCGATCGTTGGGCCCCGTATATCTTCATTTTTTAAGGTATTCTGGTAATCCATCTTGAGCTGCGTTCTGAGTTGGACTTTGTCCAAATTACAGGGTCGAGACTCTTCAATCTGGTCCCAACGGTTAATGGCTAAGAGGAGGGAATCTTTATGAGCATTGAAGTTTTTGGAAACCTACCTATTCCAAGATCTTAGGAGGCCCCAAAGAAGCTGAAATTTCCTCTGGAGTCGATAGCAGGCCCACCTGTGCACTCGGTTAGAGAGAGAGGACCACCACTAGACTATCAAAGAAGGTAGGCCAGGTTCTTTGAGCCAAGCCATTTCAAACCAGAAGGATCTAGGCCATAGTTGTTGGGATCGAGAGCAGGAACGATATCGGGATCATGATCGGGAGCAAGAGATAGAAGACCCCTACGGTTGGGAACGCCATCCGTGCAACGCTAATGTTAGGGATCTTATTATTGATAGCAAGCAAGTAATAATTTTGTTGCTAGTTGGCTATAAACAAAGAAAATCATCAGTTTGGTTGTTGTCTTGTTCTTTAAGTTTGGATTGAGATTCCTAACAGTAGGAATCGGGATCTGTATGAGTGAGGTTCAAGATCCCAAAATTTAAAAATCGAGATCTCTAAGAGATCCGTTCTAGGAGCGACAAAATTGAGATCCTAGATGGGATCGCCTACCAAAGTAGGAGATCCCGGTAATTATGGTCTAGGCCCTCCCCAAGCCGGTTGGGTGTTAAGGAGAATGGGCTTCTGGTCTGAAGTAGGTTTGGGTAGGGCAAGGGAGCAACTGCCAAGAAAGGACGAGTCCCAATCGCGACTGATCAGATAATGGTCCAATTTGGAGAGGGAGGGAGTGGATGAGTGGTCCAACCAGGTGAAGGTGGCTCCAAGGAAGGGAATATTGATGAGTTCGTGTCTAGAGATGAAGTCTGAGAAATCAAAAATGGATTGGGTAATTCTTGAGTTCAAGTTCCTTTCAAATGACCACCAAGTAACATTGAAATCCCTGCTGATGCACCATCGGGTAGGGTGAAGGAAGGCAGCATTTTTAAGCTCATCCCAGAGAAGACCTTTGGAAGAGTCAGAATTGGGGTCGTAGACGGCAGTAAATTCCACAGGAGCCCATCGGAAATTCTAGTGAGGGTGATAGTCATGGTGTAGGAGGCAATGAGGGAGGTCATTAGGGTGTGGGTCGTAGGGTCCTCAATGACCCATATGCCTCTCAAGGCATTGGAGGTTGCTAGGGCCACCCATTGGCAGGGTCTACGACCCCAGACCTATTGGACTTGTCCAAGAGTGGGAAGAGGTTGTTTAGTTTTTTAAAGAGTGAGAATGGTGGGGGAGTGCTTTGTATAGCAAACATGAGCAGATATGCATTTGAGGGGCTCTCCCAATCCCCTGATATTCCATGTTAGAAGCTTCATGGGGAGGTTTGAGAGGCGGGGACGCATCTAGAGGAGTGTCGAGGGGTTTTAAGCCCCGAGGAGGCTTCTAAAAGAGAAGGGGTACAGAAAGAGGAAGGAGCCTCAATATCATAGTTAACACCAAATTGCAAGTTGGAGAGCTCTCTTTCACCCTTGTTGCTTACTTTGAATTTGGTTTAAGCATCAGATTTAAGGAATGCTTCTATGTCCTCTGGTGAGCCATCAAATTTGAAACCCAATACCTTTAAAATATCCTGAATGTTGCCATGTGCTCTATCCATCCTGCTGACGAAGTTCGAATCCACCAAAGGAGGGGAGCCTAAGAGAGAGCTAGAGGTTGAGCTAGTGCACTGGGGGACCGGGGGTTGGGGCAGGAGAGACACATCACTTTGTGGTGAGGAGGTGTTCAGCTCTGAGGATGGGAGGGCAAGTGGGGGGAGGGGGTGAAGTTAGAGGTGGGGCCACCGGGTTGGGGAAGGTGGTGGAGGTGGTGTTGAGATTGGGGGCTGAAGAGGAGGGAAGGGATGAGGATACCAGGATGGCCGCTAAAGAAGGTGGGTTAAATAAATGAGGGTTAAGGGATGCGATGGGGTGGGGGAGGAGACGGAGGGTGATGAGTTGTTGGGGGGGGGGGAGGGGGGGGCGGAGTGGGCGGGGTGGGGGGAGAGGGTAAGGGCCAGGGGAAGAAGGGGAGATGGGGGTTAGTGTGGTAGAGAAATGGAGGGTAAAAGGGTAAAGGGTTAGAAAAACCAAGGGAGTGAGGGGGGCAGGTGGGCGAGGGAAGAAGGGGTGGGTTAAGAGCGAGCAAAGGATATGGGGAGGGAGTTCATCTCTAGGGGACAGGGGGAAGGGATAGAGATTGTGGGGCGACGAGTGACGAAAGGGCGGCGGGAGGAGGAGATGAGATGGGTGGAGGTGGAGGACAAGAGGAGGGGGCCGAAAGCATTGGCGCTTGTGGGAGGTTGGCCGATGAGGAGGGAAGAAGGGGAGCAGGGGTGTTGCCTACGAAGAGGGAGAGGAACTCAGGCGGGGGAGGGAGGGCACCTAAACCTGGCGAATGGGATGAGGTTTCCAGCTGGGTACATGGAAGAGGTGGTAGGTTTGTCAGGAGCAGGTGAGATTACGAGGGGTTTCTGAAGAAGGCGGCGAGCTAGAGACCTTGGGTGTGGAGAAAAAGGAAGTTGGGCCATTAGATGAAGGTGCTGAGCTGGAATGGATGCTACGTGGCAAGGAAGTGAGGGTTGGTAATGGCTGGGTGCCCCGCATAGCGTGGGGGTAGATGACGGCTGGAGAGATAGGGTGCGAACAGAGAGCAGGTGGCTGAGGGAGGGTTGGGAGAGGGGATTATTCTGTTTGGGGGGAGGACAAGTGGCATAGGGTCTTCAGGAAAGAGAGGGGGGAGGGGGGGGGGGGTGGGAGATTGAGGGGCTGGCACGCAATCGTCAGCCTGGGGGGAATGGGTGGTGTGGGTGGTTGCAGCCTCAGCCAGATAGTATTAGGTAGGGCACTCTTGGTGGGGGTTACATTGGCCCACATAATGATAGGATCTTCTATTGTGAGTGTAGTCTCTTCGACGACGCCTAGAGATAGTGGTCCACCCATCTCAAGATGCAAGAGGGGTGGGACGCAGAAGGGTTGGGGCGGCCCATCGGCTGGATATGGGGTCAGAATGAGGAGAGGCCATGGCTCAAGAAGTGTGGACACAATAGTAATCCCCTTCAATGTTGAACCGAAGTTTAGAGGGAATGGATTGAGGGTCAAGGACCTCGATCAACAATTGAATGGAATCCAAGGGAAGGAACTCGCAAGAACCCCAATGGATTGAGAAAAAGAAACCATAGAGATTGCCAATGAGCTTGAAGGTGATAAGATGGAAAGCATGAATGGGGGTGTTGGAGACTTTCAACCAAATCCTCCTGCTTTCTGAAAGCTCCCAAGAGATTGGATCATGAGACCAGGGATAACGAGGCTCCTTTGAAGGTGGGTGGGACGAGTAGGAGAGCTTTTTTGGCAGAGGCTTCCGAGGGGAAGGTGAAACGGATGTGGTCGTTCGTAAGACTGTGATAGCCCAGTTCTGGCTCCTTCCAGAGGTTTTGGATCCATTTCTTATTAGCCATGATATCGTCCCTTTTGGGGAAGTGGCTGACTAGGGAAGAGAGCAGTTTGTTCTTCTAATCTGAGATATACTGTCCAGCCAGAGAAATGAGTTCGCACGAGTTAAGATGCCGTTGAGGGGGTGGAGGAGGCGGGGCAGGGTTGGAGTGTTGGAGGGGTGGGGAGTAAGGAAGGCAGTTTATAGGGAAGACAGGGAGTTAAGGGAGGAAGGCTTGATCTTCGGACGTAGTTGTGATAGAGGTGGTGGGGGAGGGAGGAGGAAGGGGTCCTGTCGGATGGAACCATCTCCACGGATGACCAAATTTTGTTAAGCTCTCTCTCTCTCTCTCTCTCTCTCTCTCTCTCTCTTCCTTCCCTTCCCAAGTACAGAAAAAAGTGGGATTTGGATAAGAAATCACCTCAATCCTCTCAATCCCATCTTCATCAGTCAAGGTCCTGTTGGATATATGCTGGCCCCAAAAAAAGCATTTTGTTTAACTTCGAAATACTCTTTTTGATTTCCCTCTTTCTAAAAGCCAGCAAATAAGGAGATTTTAAGCTTCTTAAACCTTTTAAATTTTAATTCCATGATATGATAGAGCAAGTCAAAGTTCATCTGGAGTGTAAGAGGAACTTCAAATAATATGATGCCCCAACCTAGAAGCACTGGTCAATCATCACAGCTGTGCAGTCACATGCTGAATCCACGTGATAACCTGGTACTTAGTTTGGATAACACAAGTTGTTGATGGTAAGTTGAGTACATTCCAAGTAATCCCTTTTTGCAAGTTTTGTTTTCGTCATTTGGATGATTCTTTTAATCATTTTGCAAAGTCTTGATAAAATAGTTACCATGTTAGGCCTCCTACATGATTATCATGTCCAAATGGTGGTATTTCAATTATAATTTTCAGAATTAGATGAATTGTTTTCATCTCGGAACTCAGAAAACTGTCATACAAATAGAGCAGAAAAGAGCAAAAATGCCAATACTAACTGATCAATAAAATAAATATAGTGGACTGGCCGCATAATCCACAAATTCAAAATCTACTCATGGTATCAAAGAACACAACTTTCTCTCTACAAGGGTAAAAAGGGGATCAAACAACATTTGAGTTGACATAAATGACTCTAGAAAACGCACTTAGAAGCACAAATTGAAAGATTATAGCACATGCAAATTATGCGACAGAGATGGAGAATTCTATTAAAATTTGGTGGTGCAGATGCACAACTTCCAACAAAATTTTGTAACAATAACAAATAAAATAGAAGATCACAATTCACAATTGAAGAATGGAAAGAATATCTTTAATTGTGTTATGAAGGTAGGAATCAAGTAATCAAGTTTGAAAAAATGAAACAAACAAGGGAAATATTTATGTAAGGTGGAAAGTTTCTTGTAAAATCAAAAGGAATTAAAAATTTAATGGGTACAAGAGCATAAAGAACCAAAATATCATCTAAATGAGGAAAATTATAGGTGTTTATACATTGGTTGAGGTCAACATCAGATATGCTGCTGATGGTATGCAACAAATACTAAATTCTACCAGAACTATAAAATTTGAGATTTCAAACACAATGTCTCTAGAGGGACATATTTTCTGGGAACTTTTCTTGGTAGAACTTTAAAACTTTTGTCATTTATTTGGGGAAGTGACTGATAAGTTGTGCAAATTGGGCCTTCTAGAACATAATGTAATGGTCTAAAAGGAGTACCTCTTCATGCACATGTTTGTTAATTAAATTTCCTCTTCAGTCAACTAATAAATTTAAGGCCTTTTAAGAGAGAACCTAAGAAGTGATGATTTGACAGTTCACCTCTCGTATAATTGGTACCCACAGCATAATTTGCAGGTGGTCAGTTCTCTAAAACACTGATATATTATGAGTCATGAGATAATGGTTTCCCAAACAATGATATCTACATTAGATTTTTCAAAAAAGAAAAATAGAGGAAAAAATAACTAAATATCTCCAGGCTTTTTCAATACAGAAAAGTATTATGATGGTATATCATACTACCTTGTAAACAAATTCTTGTTACAAAAAAGAAGGTTTTTTGGTGGATGGCCAAATATGAAAGTGCCAAACAAATACAGAAATGGTGCTATAGTGATATACATGACTCATAATGGCAAGAGTTAAAATAAGAAACCATTATATGGGTTCATTTTTTAAAAGACAAATAAAAATATATATGAACTACAGATATGGTAATTAAGCAATCATTAATGTGCTTAAAAAAATTTCTCAAATTAACCTAGCCAAAAAAAAAAAATTCAAGTAAGTTAGTATTAAAAAAAGAACAAGAAAAAAAGGAAACAAAAGGAATAGGGAACATTAGATTGAAATCACATTACTAAGCACTTCAAGTCAGTTCAGGATGCATAATAATTTACAGAAGCGCTGAAGAAGTTAGAGTACTAACATGAGGGGTTTAAGTGAAGTCTTGGTTGCTGAGTAGTTCTCTGAGGGAATGCCCCAATTTCCAATCTTTCAAATGGAGGTGGACCACCAAAACCATTGTTTTGAGATCTCAAAGATAAGCGAGAGAATCCTGAATATTTTTGAGTCATCTCCCATTCTTCATAAATAGATTGCACATGGCCCCCAAGTATAGTTAGCATTTTGGGTTCCAAACATATTATGCCACTCCGTATTGCTGTGTTATTCTCTAACCGAACCTACAAGCAAGATTCAACACTATAAATGAAAGGCAATGAGTTACCTGGGTGTGCTTGCAATTTATCACTTCACCTTGTGTGGTTTGATTGCCTAATTCAGAATCTCGACCAATATGCAAAAGTAAACCAAAAAAGGGAATGATTGTGCATACATGGAGTATATCTCTAACAAAACCATCAACCATTCACTTTATATACTCACCCTTAAGGCATTTTTAAGAAACGAAACTATAAATACGGAAGTCATTGAAGCTACAAGTTATCCATTGAAAGCCATGGTATTGATCACCATTTAGATACCATATCTAACCTATTTGTTCAATGATATCTATTTGAAACATAAATCATCTCCCTCTAAGACAACATAAAATCTTGATTGTAATGATTCTCCCAACGATGATGTTCCTATTTGTTTAATGATATCAATTTCAAACATAAATCATCTCCCTCTAAGACACCATAAAATATTGATTGTAATGATTCTCCCAATGATGATGTTGGGGTTATGGCCTTTCAAAACCTTGACATCAAGATTTTCTGTAGTTTTTATTCATAATGGGAGTGATCAAGAACATGTGACTTGTTGAATCTGTGCGAACTGGGATACAGAGTTGGTGACCATAGAGTTATAAACCCCATATCACAAGGAATGAGATTAAATGGCAATAAACTGAAGGAGTTATCTCTGGTCAGGGTTGGTATTAGAATACCACATGATCATATAAGCAAGGGCACGAGTGTTTTGTCTTTTATGAGTATGTTTATGTGTGGATTAGAGAATTTATGTATTTTTAGTATTCCTGAGCATTAGAATGAGAGAATCCTTGTGTGAGAAGGATAGGCTTTGAGAGGGTATGAGCCAAATGCTAGACATCAAGCCTTCTCTTAGCATGTGTATGAAGTATGAACAGTCGCAAAAGGGAAGCCACTCTCTCACAGTTTGATCCACTGAAGAGAGACATGCACATGTGCTGGAAAGAGTACGCCCACATCTACGAGAGTACATGTCTTTGGGGGCCCACCTGCAATCCACTGTAATTCTAGGACATGGTCATCTATTGGGTTAGCTTTGATAAGCCAAGCATGAACCCTTGCTAAAAATATTGGGTCATGGTTCTTGTTGGGTAATTTCGAGAAAATGACTTGGGGTCCAGGGACTAGCCAAGTGGAGTGCCCAAACCACCGAGTTCAATTTCCTTAAGGATCCTAATTTCCATCTAGATATTTTTATTGAGCCCAATAATAATGGGGATTTGGGGAATAGTGAAATATTGTTGAAAATTATTTTTGGGGAGTTTTTTGAATTTCTGGAAATTTTTAGACCAAACAATATTATAAAACAAAACTGTTTTGGAAAAATTCTGATTGACGACAAAACAATGCACATGTAAGGCCCAAATGGCCAGTGGGCCATACAACCCCATCTCACATGGCCACACATCGGCGACATGTCAGCTGTGTGTGGCTGATGTCATCCACACAGGTGGACATGCCTTAATGGGGTATTTGGTTCATGCCTTATTTGTGTTTTGCATTAGTTTTTAGCAACATGTGTAGAGATTTGGCTCGTGAGTCGCCAAACTCACAAGTAAGATTTGCTATTTTCCTTAGTATGAGGATTTTAATCCAATGAGAATATAAATCTAAAAGTGTTTCACAAGGTATTGAAATATGATTGATCAAGCGTGTGATCTATGACACCAAGTGTATCTAATAGGTGTGTCTTATGACACCAAGTGTGTGATATGACATCAAGTGCGTGGATAATGACATCTAGTAAGAGAAATGGCTAAACTTTGAGTTTGAATATTAGAGTGAGAAAGAAAGACAAGAAAGAGGGTCACGCCCCTTACCATACTCATTTTTCTTATATTTCATTTTATACTATGGGCTAATCTGATAGATGATTTAGATTTTTTAAAAATTATAATATTAGGAGGGAAACTTGGAAAATAACTTTTGTACTTGTGGGGATAAAGGTGGTTAATCACATCCACTCATCATTGATAGCCTGTGAGTGGATGTGGGGCAAGGATCAACGCTCTCTACAAGCCATAAATGCCCTTGAATCAATGGCCCACAATGAATCTAGAAAAAGTAACCACTAAATCTCTTAGGCTATGATACGTGTAACCCCATAAAACCCTAAACTTACTCACTTCATCTTCTCCTCAAGAGCCCAATGTGAGTTCTAAAGTGAGTCTTCTTGAGCCCAATGTGAGTTCTAAAGTGAGTCTTCCTGAGAGAGAGAGAGAGACGTCCCCCTTTCCCTTGGTCTTCATCTTTCATGCAATGGTGCAATGGTGATTCCAAGGCAATTAAAAGGTTCAACCTCCATAACATGCTTGCATCAACCTTGCTGTAAAATCATCTACAACAACAAGGAATAAGCCAATTGTTGCGTTGTTTAATTATTTCTTTCATGCCTCTTGATGTTTGCATGATTAGCCCTTACACCTTACTCATGATATCCAATTGGGTATCGCTTCCTGCAAAATTCAAAAAGGCCATTTTACAAGGTATTATTTATGCCAAAATATTCTCTCCCATATTAGAAATCACCAATCCTACAAATTACCACCTTCTTGATATCATGCACCACTCTCTCTCTCTCTCTTCTCTCTCTCTCCTCTCTCTCTCTCTCTCTCTCTCTCTCTCTCTCTCTCTCTCTCTCTCTCTCTCTCTCTCTCTCTCTCTCTCTCTCTCTACTACTACTACTACTACTACTACTACTACT